AATTTTTCGAAGCACTTAGTAGTCTTAAAAATCTCATTATTTATTTAATTTTAAAATTTCTTGCACCTCATTCGCTCTGTAGTTGATAAGAAGTACATATCAAAAAATTAATAAATAGTTTTCATTATGGCAAGACAGTGACTTTCAAAAGACCTTAATATAACTTTTTCTTTCTCTTCTGGCATTACAGACCAAAGTTGTCCTTGTCTTAGTTTACATATTCTGCCACAGGCCTTTGTCCTTCACTGTCCATCGCATATCCTCCAACGCTTTGTCCTTCCATCGGGCTCTTGATTGTCCCTTTTTCCTTGTAAGGAACACATTCCCTTGGTAAATCTTCTACACCTATCTATCCTCACTCATCTGTTGACGTGCCCATACCATCTCAGCCTATTTATTTTTTTGCCATCAGATATGTGCAGATCCTTAAATAAATCATATATTTCTGTATTTTTATAATAGGCCATCTTCTCATACATCCTTCACAATATATTCCTTTCAAATCTATCACAAGCCTTTCAACTGTTGCTTTTTTCATAAACTATTCTTCGCTTCCATATGTAGCCATTGGTTTAATTAGGTTTTATACTTGCGTTTTTTTTTTTTTTTTTAATGTTGGCTTTAAGCACGTCGACCCCTTTGGGTCCATTGTGCGCCAATATACTTGCGTTAGTAGTACTTTCGATGACTTTAACTTATCATTTATTCACTATTCATTAATTAATTTATTTTATAAAAAAACGCCAGCAGGGGTTACTCTATTTCCCTTAAAATTCACTCAATTCCTTTTGCACTTTATTGTAATCCTTAAAAAAATTTGAAGATTCAGAAAACTAGTCCAGTGATTGGAGGTGTACAGAATGTATACTTTTTGGTATCAAGTTAAATATTTTCCGAAAGCTTCATAATAATTCTTCAAGAACAGACAATAGTTGTCATTTGTATCTTGGTAATTTAGTTATAGTTCAATATTTTATACATCCTGCACAAACAAATATATACAAATTTCAATAGAAAAATCAATTTTTTCAAAAACTTTATTAGAAAATCAAATGTTTATCTATAGATAATAAAACTAATAAGAAATTACTCAAAATGTTCCCCTTTTGCCTTGACACAACCATTTAATCTCCGTGGCCAGTCATCAATAGCAGCACGCAGCACTTCTTGAGGAAAGCGCTCAATTTCTCGGACCAGAGATTGTTTAAGGCTTTCCACTTTAGGATATGCCCTTTGGCATGCCATCCTCTCCAATTCGGACCAAAGCTGATATTCTATTGGATTGAGATCATGGCTTCCTGAGGGCCAATCTGAGGCAGAGATGAACTCTGGAATGTTCGTTTGCAGCCACTGCTGAGTTGACCTGTCCTTGTAAGCTAGAGCGCCCCACCAAACCATCACTGAGGAAGGGTGATGACCTCTTTCTACTTTTCCAATGACTTCCTTGGCTTCTTTAGAGCTGCGTGCGTACACATGATCATTTTGGCCTTTAAATTTATCTTCAATTGTAAACATTTTCTCATCGCTAAACAAAATTTTTCAATGAAGACCATTCGTGTAATGGCCAAGGAGCACTTTGCATCCACTCTAATATTTTTTAGGAAAATGGTTAGTCTTTGTCCTGTCATTCTTCGAAATGCACCCATCCTAAGGTATGAGAGACATTGATCTGACAGAGATTCCCATTTACCGAGACATGATTTGTTGTTTTTGAATGGGATTTCTTCTGATTTGAGCAGCCACTCCTCTCACTGCATTTACCGTTCTCACAGTCCGAGGACTGTCGAGGTCTGTCACATGCAGATAGGATCTCATTATATCTATTTATGGTGCGGTACACGAGCATACAGCTGATACCTAAAGGTTTCAAAGTGTTGAAAATCTGTGACCTACATTTTCCAACTTTGTGTAAGGATATCACAGCTATTTGGTTTTCTTTATCACCCTACTCCATGTTAACTGAGCAAAAGAAAAACATAAATTAATTGGGATTATTTTCCTGACATGTAAAGAAAATAACCTGATAGAGGTAAGGATTATCTAAATAATACCCAAGGATGTAAACAAAGTTCAACTTTTGTAACAGTATTTGTGGCAGAACTATATATTTTTGAAATTGAAATTTCAAAAAATATTTGATAATTTAGTAATATCATTCAACTATAGAAGATAATTGGTATTATGAAGCTACTCAAAATATTTTAACTTGATATTAATAAGCCTACAGTATGAATGGCCATCTTCCTGACTAAAGCTCTTTTCAGAATTAAAATTATCTACTAGAAAGAAGTATGATTAAAAATTCTTAAAATATTAACTAAGCTACGGTTTTGATATAATTAAATTTATTAATGGAGGATCTAGATCCGGCTGGTTCTAAGAGCCCTACTTTCCCGATGGAGACAGAAGTTTTATCGTTCCGGAAGAAGGAAGGCTATAGCATCCCTCTAACTTGCCAAGCCCAGGGTTATCCTGTCCCTTCATTCAGGTAATTTATAATTTAGGTAAATTCAAAACCTTTAAATATCCACTCCTCACAGATCCTGTCGGTTCCAAAGCTCCGACTGTCACCGGAGACCAAAGGAAGCTATGGATAGAAAGAAAGGAGGAATCGGACGTTTGCCTCCTGTGCCTCTCTCAGGGTCACCCTGTCCCAACATTCAGGTAGTCATTCTTCTGTTATTATCGCTACAATATTTCTATATCATCGCAGATCCTGTGGGGCTCAAACCGCCTACGGTAGCTGAAGACCTGCATAGGATCAAAAGAAAGGAGGGCATAGATGTTAATCTTCTCTGTCTATCACAGGGTTATCCAATCCCAACATTCAGGTATTCCTTCGTATATTATTATCGCTACAATGTTTCTATATCATCTTAGATCCTGTGGGGCTCAAACCGCCTACGGTAGCTGAAGACCTCCATAAAATTTGGATCAAAAGAAAGGAAGGCATAGATGTAAATCTTCTCTGTCTTTCACAGGGTCACCCTATACCAACATTCAGGTAGCTAACAGATGAATATCAATAGATAAATTTGTATACTTCTCAAAAAAAAAGAAAGTCGTTTTCTGAAGTTGTTCCGCAGAGATAAATATTTGTATCTTCTCAGATCCTGTCGGAGCAAAGAGACCGGCTTTTTCTTCTGATGCGAGACTTGTTTGGTTTGATAAAGTAGAGGGTCACGATTTCGCTCTCCTTTGTGAAGCTCAATCATTTCCTGTCCCAACATTCAGGTACTGTTCAAAGGAATCGTTCATTATTATTGAACTAAGTTTTGTTTTCATGGCTCACGTTCGCTGATAAAATAAAATAATAAACAATAAAAATATTTTGAGTATTAGTAAATGATCAAGCCTCTATTTGGGTCATATTCAGGATTTAAACCTGGTTAAGAGATAAACTTGAAAAAAAAAAATAATCCAAAATAAAATAATTCGAACATTAAATATGACAAATAGCAAAAGATTGTATGATGTTATTCCTAGATCCCGCTGGTGCCAAGAAGCCCACCTTCTCTTCCGAAGCTAGGAGGGTTTGGTTTGACAAAGTCATTGGATTCAGCTTTGCACTACTCTGCGAAGCTCAATCTTATCCTGTACCATCATATAGGTAATTAAATCAAAGATTGAGGATAGAAAAAATTAATAAATTTACTTTACTTTGACCACTCTCAAATTAGAATTTTCATTAGAACACTGATTGTTTCATCCTGATTTTGTATCCTGCTAGGTTCATTTTTTTTTTTTTTTTTTTAATTATGATTCTATAATAATGAATTTGAAGGCTTGTAACGGTCTGTTGAGCAAAAGATTTAACATACTTTTAAATATGATGGCTCAAACTATTTAGTGAGTGTCTTGCAAAAACTTGAGCTGAAAATAATAAAAAATGATTGTAGGTGATAAACAGTCATGACGCTGTCATTTTAAGATTTTTATTGTTGTTGCCGATGTTTCAACCCAAGCATGTGGGTCTTCATCAGGGCATGTTACCAGTACTGAAGGTGTTTAAGTACTGAAGGTGTTTTCAGTACTGGAAACATGTCCTGATGACCCATATGCTTGGGTTGAAACGTCGGCAACAACAATAAAATTTTTAAAATGACTGCGTTCTGACTATTTATCACCTATGATATAGAACAGTCGACTAATTTCCTTCAAAAAATTATTGTATTGAATATGTTGCCTGTGCATTTGTGGATATATAAACATTTGTTGAGCGAACAATCCATTTGATTCAAGTTGAGTGTGTCGAATTAATCGATGAAATCCCATGAATGTTTTGAAACTGTTTGAGATCAAAATAATGAAAAAATATTTTAAGTATTCTTAACTTTTTGTTGAATCTTGAAAGTTTGAAATTTTTTAGAAAATGTATCAAACTCGTTTAAATATATTTTAGTTTAAATGAATCATTTCTTATTGTTATTAATTCTTATGATTTTGAAGATAAAGTGTAAAAACTATTTCAATTACTTTTTTAATTTTTTTTTTTAAAGGCATTTTACAATAATAACTTAAGCTTGGTTAATTTAAAATAAAATTTTATAATATAAGCTTAGTTGAATTTTATTGTTAACAAGTTTGAAATGATTTAGAGGGGTACCCTATTTTCCGGAATTATATTTAATTAGATATTATATAAATTAGATCCCGTTGGAACCAAAGCACCAAGCATTCCGATGAAAGATACATTTCAAAGGCTTTTCCAAAATTCAGACGAAGATTTCAGCCTTCATTGTGAGGCCCAGGGGTTTCCAGTTCCTTCGTTCAGGTAATTTCCATTTTTCTTCACAAAACTTTTCCGTGTTTTTCTTAATGCCAGATCCCGTTGGAACCAAAGCACCTAGCATTCCGATGAAAGATACATTGCAAAGGCTTGTCCAAAATTCAAATGAAGATTTCAGCCTTCATTGTGAGGCCCAGGGGTTTCCAGTTCCTTCCTTCAGGTAATCTATATTTATCTTCACAAAACTTTTCCGTGTCTTTCTTAATAACAGATCCAGTCGGAACCAAAGCACCAAGCATACCTTTCAAAGAAACTAAAATCTGGCTCATAGCAAGTTCAGGTGCGGATTTCAGTCTTCAGTGTCTGGCACAGGGATTCCCAGTTCCTAGTTTCAGGTAAAATTAATAACTTTGGTATAGCAATTATACCTTTGAATATCTTAATACTTTTTTTGATGATCTACTATTATGAAAAACTATATATTTTTGTTGTGTTGGCTTTACAGACTTAGCAGGTCTTTTGCTGCCTTAGTCAGCCTTCTCTCTCTTTACCAATCTTGGGCTATTGCTTTCCAGTAATCTGTACACAACTTCGTAGCATCTTGATGCTATTGACTCGATCAATTCATCTTGTTTTGGACTCTCACGTGGTCTCTTGCCTACTATTGAGGCATTCATTGTTGTTTAGAGGCTTCCTGATGGATTGCTAAGAGCTCCATGTCCTGTCCACTTGCCTTCATATTATGAGATTTTGATTGATCTGTATCGGTCCAGTGTTGAGATTTTTTTAGGGATTTCAATCAATACCTTTAAAAGATAGAAGAAAGCTCTGTTTGTGTTTATTTTATACAGGTCTATTTCTGATCATTGATAATTCAATTAGGTTATTGTGGAACAGATCTTATTCAGGTGGAATTTTCAGCAACAATGTTTTGTTTTATCTTCATTTACTTCTGGGCCTATTTTTTCTTTTCTTTTCTCCTTTTCTCAGAGTTTTATACCAGGTGGATATAGTAGTTATGAAGAACTACTATTTATTGTAAATATACTAAAATCGAACTTTATTTAATAAAATTTTAATTTCATCATGATAATATTTTAAATACCATTGATTTGAATGACTATGAATATTCAGTGAGAATAAGTTATTTTCAAAGCTTATTGAGGTGAAATTTGGAGAAATTTAAACAAAAATAAAGTAAAACAGCACCAATTCTAATTCTTGAGTCCTTAGACAATCGTCCATCTGCTATTACACATAAGGTGGCTGTAAAGAGCTAATTGTAATTACAAATATATAACAAAAAATAAATTAATTTAATCACCAGAAGTTGAAACATCGATAATACCGTACCGGTCTTAAGTAGTTGGCATGCTTTGAAAAAGTACTGGATACTTTAAAAAAGTTCTGGATACTTTAAAAAAGTTGGCATACTTCGTTTATTCTTCAGCATATGATAAGTTAAATAAATTAGCTGAATTAAAAACTAAATAGATTCTAATACATTGTTTAGTTTATTATTATACAGAGATATTCTTACAGAGATTAAAAATTATGAAGATACTCAATTATTAATCGTTATATACTCAACATTTCATGATATTAAATTTCTCTTGTCTATTTTCCCTTATAATAAATATATTAAAATGTGCCTGTTAACATAAAAAAATTGATTAATTTTTTCTAAAGATCGATTGTTCTAACGAATGTTTCTCAATGTTGGCATTCCCTCTCCCCTCCGCCCCCCTTTTTTGTCAAATTTCCTTCTAAATATTTTAATTCCTTAAAAAATATAAATAAAGATAAACTGAAATTAGAAACCAGTTTAATTTGAAACAATAGCTAGAGAAAAACCTACTTATTATTTTTAATAGATATTATAATAACCCATTATTTGATGGATTATTGTTCTTTATGAAGGGCACGGACAAATATATTAATAAATTATAAAAACATTAAAAATATAAATAAAGCTGAGTTGTAATGATTATTTAAATTATGAGAAGTTTCACTTTTTAATCTTCCTTTTACATCTACATTTGCAGAATTAAATTATTACTCTTACAACATTTTAATGGTTTCATTCTTTCTATAATATTTATGGTGATTAAATATCTCAAAAGAAGTAATTTTTAATTTATTTTACTATATTAAATTTAAATTGATATGTACAAAAGAAAAAAAAAACAATTAATTCATTCAGTTTTCCTAAATAATTTAGATTTAATTCTAAACAATTTTGCAAAAAACTTTAAAAATGTCCAAGGATTATATTTAAACAACCGCTAGAATTAGTTATTTATGTGTTGCTTAGAACCAGTTGGTACAAAGGCACCCACTGTGAATCGGAAAGACAGAGGAATTCATTGGGAAGACGGAAAGAAAGATCATGACATTGGCATCCTTTGTGAAGCTCAGGGGTACCCACTTCCGATTTTCAGGTAATTGACATTGTCGAGAATAAGACTATAAAAAAACTGCATTTTCTTAGATCCGTTGGGAAGTAAAGGGCCAAAAGTGAGAGAGAGGATTCATTGGTTTGATCAAAAAGAGGATCAGGATATAAGTCTACTCTGCGAGGCCCAGGGATACCCATTACCAACATTTAGGTAATTTGGAAATTGTCAAATGATAAAAAAATCTGTATGTTAAAATTTGTCCCAAATAGATCCGTTAGGAGCAAAAGGACCTAAGTTATCCGAAAGCGAACGTCATAAATGGTCAGCTGTTTCTTCAGGAGAGGATATTAATCTCAATTGCATTGCGCAGGGCTATCCTGTTCCTAAATTTAGGTAATGAGACTCATCTTCAATTTAAATTATATGAATTAATTCCCAAGCCTAAATATGAGTAAACAAATTTTAAAAAATAAAATAATAATCACTAGTTGGTTATTATTGAAGTATCATAAAAACATAAAATTTAAATTTATCAAATATCTGTAAATAACTAAGATAATATCAAATGTCTGGGAAAAGAATATTAAACTGATATAGTAGGTCATAGAAAGAAAGTTTACAAAATATGGATGAAACAGGTAGGTAAAATCAGCACAAATAGGTTATAATAGAGCAGCTGATCAGAATAATAAAAGGAAATGCATAACATCTCACTACTAAAATTAATTTAAAAAGCTCATCTTATGAAGTGAAGAAGATTCTATCATCATCATCATCATAATGATCATTTTCACTTTGAGATGATTTTTTTTTTTTTTTTTGTGGCATAAATGTGCCTTGACCATGAATGCTTATTGGACGCCTAAAGATGATTCTATAGTATGACAAGATGATTCTATAAACAAATTTCAATTTTTTTTTTTTTTAGGATCAGATGATTCTCAATGTCATTGTTTGATCAATAACATTTTATCATTATATGAGACCTGTTTCATTTTTATTTAATTATGATCATAGTTAAACTAGATTATAACTTACAACAGATATATGATTCCTCCTTGATTCTTCCTTTCTTAAAATTTCTCTTCGATCTATGCAGTGGTTACCCTTATCTCCATAAGGTTTTATTATTATTATGTTTATTTTTTTTAAGTTTAATCTCCTCCAATGTTGAGAGTTTTGTTTCAAAATAGTAGATTTTCTAAATTTGGGCCTCATAATAATTTATTCTCTTAGAACCACTTGGAGCTAAAAGTCCCATGGTGTCCTTGAAAGACAGGCTGACTTTGTCCGAACAAGTAGAAGGAAAGGACCTGAGCCTTGTATGTGAGGTTCAAAGTTTTCCCATAGCAACATTTAGGTAATTTCTAACTAAATTTATTATAGATAAAGAAAATGAAATAACAGAAGTATTAAATTAATTTATATTAATTAATTATTTTGTTTTACAATAAACTACACTTATAAACCGCTTGTTTTATAAGATAACTCAATGTTTTTACTCAACTCTGTTTTTCAAATCCTTAATACTAAATGCCAAATGGTATTTTATTTACATTTTTTGGTCACGTGATGTGATCTGTTTATAGACGTATTGTGCGAAGTGGAGTCAAACCTCATGTTGCTCCAAGCCAAGGTTTCCAGAGGGCAGCAGACCATCCCTAGCTCTATAACGAATCCATTTCGACCCGATTTGGTATATCTTTTCCACCGACATACTTTGGATTCAAAGGCAGATACAAATCCAAGGATTATGACTGCTCAGGATTGGTAGCTGCATGAGGTTCCATAGCTCCATATCTCATTCCGTGAAACAGATACCGTACAGGGACAAAACCTCCAGTTGGTGACTGATGTCCTGGAAAACCTCATAGAGATTTCTATTTAAGGTGCACTAAATCTTCACTCCCACACCCGATCTGTATGAGTTGCCTCCAGTAGTCTGATGGACTTCACTTATGAGAAGAGAAAAGGAGAGAGATCAAATTTATTTAATTATTACCTTTTTTATTTGTGATGGATTCATCATTGAAATCGTTGTTCCATGACTCAGGGGTACTTTGTACCTTCACACCTTTTTTTTTAATTATTAAATTTTTGTCTTTTTAATTTCGGAACCAGGATTCAAACCCGCAATCTTTAATTTTGTAGATTACTACTTTTTTGTTAGCACCTTAAACCATTCGGCTACCCTGGTCCCTATTCTTTAAAATTATAGAACTAAAATCTTCATGTAATATTTTTATAAAAAAGTATAATACTTTAATTTTAATGCAAAGACAAGTCTATTATTAAATAGAGATAGGCTCAAAAGTTTCTCTTCATTCAAAAGTACTGTTAAACTAAACCAGAATCTGAACTCTTCCATCAATAATAGTTGGGAGAGTGTTTAGTAGTGCAGTATGACTCTCAATTTTGTTGAAACTTGGTACAAATGTTTCTTTTAAACCAACCTTCAGTTCCTTTGTGATAAGACAGTTTTACTTATCATATCATCTTTGTATTACCAATTTCTTGCTTTACCACAACAGCCTACTACTACTACAACATTAATATTAATCTTACATGAACCTAAAACATTAAATAGTTACCATTTGATTGATCAAAATTAGTAGTTTGTATAAATGATGTTTGTCTCAGATCTTAACGTAATAAAATAATTTAATTTAGCATTAAATAGCAGCGGGTAACCCTTCCTCTCATTTGATTAATATTACTATTAATTGAGTCGTTCAGTTTTAAGACCACCCAATGCTGTTTTACATTTTTTTAAAATTAGTTTTACTTCTATATTGTCATGGAGTAAATTAATTTGTCATATGCACACTTAAATCACTTCTGATTTAAATGCCTTTGAAACAAATTTATTCAGCTCATGACAATCTAGTACTAAAACCGTTAATCAAACAATTAAAAATTGGAAAATGGACTTGGGGGTGGTTTTGGAACTTAATGCTTCAATTAAATATTTTCGTTAATTTGATATCAAAATTATT